GATCTGAGTTTTTAACCTCACGATGACGGGAGGTGGGCTCCATCTAATCACATCGTATTTTTAACAGAAATATGAACAACATTAAGGTTGAATTGCTAAAGAATTAACAGAGGAAGAGAGAGAGAGAGAGAGAGAGTGAGAGAATTAATTAGTCAACTAATTAACTGTTTAGCGGATTAATTAATTAATTAATTATAACTCTTGAAATCCTGCTGCTTAATCATATCACTCTTTCTTTAGTTACGGGTAAGAGGTTACTGTGTAAATATACTATTAATTTACTTCAGTTGATACATTTTTCTCAACATGTGTATATATTTTCAAGTTGAATATATAACTACTATATAATTTTGAGATTCCAGTTGAATTTGGTGTTTCTGTATTTTTTCAATATCATATTAAATTGTCATAACAAAAATATTAACTTCCCATTAAATAATTACAACATAATTTTTCAGTAGGACAATTAGTTTAATCATATAATATTAAATAACTAATTTTAGTTATCCTTTTTTTCCCTCATTTTTAAACATAATATAATTTATATTATTCTTAAAATAGATAAAAGTTAAAAGTCAAATCTCAAATATAAATCAGAACATAAATAATCAATAGATTTATCATTAAAGGAGATGAAGCGATAACAATAAAAAATTATAAACTTATACATAAAAAAATATGTGTATATATATTGTAATATCCACCTAAAAAAAAGGAGAATAAATGTAAATAAAAAATAAAAATAGAATTAACATTTAAATAAAAACATGTGAGAAAAAGAGGAAGCAAAAACATAAATAAGAAAAAGTGGAAGGGGGCAAAGAAAATCAGGAAAATGGACGGCCCAGATCAGATTACTTGAAGAGATCAAATGGATGAGATTGAAAAAGAGAACGGACGATTCAGATCAAGTTAGGAAGATCCAACGGCTGGGGGAACGGATATAAAAAGGAAAGAGATTAGGGTTTTCTCTTCATTTTGAAGAGTATCCAAAAAAGAGAGAGGAAGAAGAGAGAGGAACGATCAGGAAGAGAATGAAGAAGAAGGTTGTCGCGCAGGGAAGCTGAGGGAGAGAAAGAGAGAGGAAAGGAAGAAAGAGGCCAAAAAGGAAGAAGATAAATGAGAAAAAAAAAAGGAGAAAGGGAAGAAAAAGGTGTGGCCGAGCGAAGAAGGTAGAGAGAGCCGAGAACGGCTGCCGCAAGGGGAAGAAGAGAAAAGAGAGAGTTGCGAAGGCGGTGAGTGGTGGCGTTTGATGTTGTATGGAAGAAGATAGGAAGGAAAACGACCGGGACGATGTGCGAAGGCGGAGGCCAATGCAAACAAAGGTACGTTTCGTCATTTTTTTCGTTCTTCTCTTCTTATTTCGTTGGATTCTTTTATTTTGCTTACTAATCAATTTGTAGGTTTGAGAAATTACCATCCGAACCTCAAGAAAGTTAGGGAGCTGCTAGGTGGCCAAGAGGAGACCATCGGGAGCCAAGCTGAGGCCGAACCGCTCGCACCGAAGGTAAAATCATTTGTTTTTGAGGTTTGGGTGATGGTTTGGACAGTGGTGGAATGGGGCCGGTGTCGGGCTGGCCGCACAAGCTCGGCCAGGCCAACCATTCGCACAGGAACCGAGGAGGTTTCCTCGAAAATAGGGAATCGTTGTTCGGAAAGCTGAAAAGTCTTCATCGAAAAATAAAAATCCAATTCATTGAAGGAAAAGCCAAAAGGTTTTCTACGTACAGATCCCGATAATTTTGGGTATTCTGTTGAGTGGTTGTTTGAACCTGTAATTCGATTAAATTAATTTTTAGTATTTAAAGTATTCTAATTAATTTATGTCGTGTGTACAGAGAATTAGGACATTCAGGTAGATTCGGAAAGACACGTAAGAGTGTAAGTATTTATAAATCTCAACCGGATTTTAATTTTAAAAAGTGTATTCATTTCATTAAATTATAAATTTTGAAATTTGAACAGACTTTTACCTAATTTTCGATAAAAAAATAGAACCCATATTCCGATCAGTAAACCTATGCAATTAGAACCCTATGAGGACACAAAATCAGAAAACGCAATCAATGGATTGAGAACAGTTTGGGCTGATGAACCTCGTAATTCAAAACCAAGAAAAGCTTTAATTAAGTAAAGGAGTGGAAAAGG